AACAGAGCAGTAGCGCTCGGATAGAATTTGGCTCGAAGACACCTCAGTAGGTGGTATTAATTTTGGGTAAGACAATTAGGTCTTAATTTAGATGGGAGTCCCTGACTCCACAACCACATACAAAGGCTCGCCCTGTATGAAAGGGACGAGTTATCGCCAGACTGGTGCACAGGCAAAACATAGCATGGTTAGTGCAACATAATGCTGTGGAAAGAACATACATTATGGGTTAATTGTCTCATCCAATGCCGAATGATGTGTGCTGAATTATAGGCGAACACACGCCCTGTTATGCATCTAGACCCTTAAGAAAAATAAATGAACTAGCAACAACAGGGTCGGGATTGTGGCTAATCCCTAAAGAGAAAGCGAAACGCTCCCGGACGCATAAACTATCTCCAGGGTGCCCCGGGAATGTTTTGATTCCTGGATGCTATAAGACTGGGGCAAGAAATCACCCACGTTACTGTACATATATGAAATATGTACACCACTGGGAATGTGTTTATTCCCAGCAGCCCTGTAACCAAACTTAAAGAGATGTTTTGATCTCAATAATGAAATAAGCCGCTACGGCAAGTAGAATTTTGCTGGAGATATGGCAGCACGGTGGACGAATTTTGGGTGAGATTCCTTTTTATCTCAATCTTTAATGGAACCTCGAGGCTCCTCCTTGCCACATAACCCCATAGGCATAGCGCCTACTAAATTCCCAAACGAACACGCCTATAGAAACATCCAAACACTCAACCTCGTGAAAGAAAAAATAAATAAAAATAACTCCTGCTGCAGGTGTCTGTATCAGAGATCGCCTTAAGATGGACTAACCATTCCCGATATGATTTTGGAAGCAATGATGAATCAAAGAAGACAATCAATCTAACCACCACAAATTGACAGAGAATGACATGGTTTCGATCAAGAAAGCTCCCAGAATCCTACAAGGAGATCAATCAAGATTTGGAATTTAAGGAAGTAGATCATACTGAAAGAGATGTATTATGGGAAACATGCGCCCCAACAACTCAGACAACCGATAAAAATAAACAAGACAAAACGGATGCAGCATTTACCGGGGATGAATTCCCATCCACCATTTCGCATGACCAGTTGCTGCTACAGAGTCGTACCCCTAAACCGACAACCGTGAAACCAATTGTGCAATTGATCTACCCGCCAAATGAGACCAAAGGCAAAATAACGGTGACTAATGAAGATGTCAGGTGTCTGGAAGAAGGCGAATTCATCAATGATGTTATTATAGATTCCTACTTGAAGTATCTCCCACCTGAGGTTCCTGGTGAAGAACACCAAGAGAGAACACACACTCTCAGCTCGTTCTTCTATAAACGTCTGTCCCGGCGTGTGACCTCCACCTCAAAACTTGGGGGACCGCAGCGGTCAGTGGCTGAACGGAGACACAGCCACGTCAAGTCTTGGACAAGGAATGCTGATCTCTTTAAAAAAAACAAAGGATTTCGACGGATAACAAGTAATAGATACAATAAAGCAGTATTACAGGAGAACAACTAAAATTTATTCACAATAACATTTCAATATATACAGTACATAGGTAAATGGTGACTGGTTACTTAATTGATGTGCATAAGGGGTGGTGCTTCCCAATCATCACATTAGTTAGTGGGAGATACTCAATCACACAGGTGTGTGTATACAGTTGACAGCTGACCTCCACTTAGGGGTAATTATCTGTTGGTTCCCAGAGTCTGGCAGACATACAGGGACAAACTAATGAAGCTATTTACATTGAAACCCATTAAATCAAAGTTTATAATAATAAATAATTGTGTTAGATACAACACTCTTGAACGGTAGCACTTAATGCTATATACTCTGCCTCGCAGGATGATAAGGCTACAGTTGGTTGCTTTCTAGTTTTCCAAGATATCAATGGACCATAATTAGTCATACTGAAACAGTAACCTGTGGTACTTCTTCTGTCTTCAAGTGACGATGCCCAATCTGCATCGCTATAGCCAATTAAACTTAAACCATCATCACTGTATCTGTAAACTAATTCATAGTCAAGAGATCCCTTTAGATATCTTAAAACATGTTTAACAGTTACAAGATCCTCCTTAGTAGGATTTGATAGATGTTGGGACAATTTACTCACTACAAAAC